GTCTCCCCGCCGCCATCGCTCCCAAGCCCGCGCCCTCCAGCGGCGCCCCCGCGGCCACGCGCGCCCAGCACGGGGGGCCGAAGGACGGGCCACGGGAAATGGCTTGAGCCAAAATGGCTAAGACTCGAGCGTGGCGACCGCGCGGTGCCGAGTCGTCATCAGAGAGCGCTGCTAAACATGCGCAGTCGTTTCCAGAAGAGGCCCTCCTGGACTGGGTCCCTAGGGCGGCCGATTGCTTCGGTTTGGCTCTCGCCGCATGCGCGCGCGGGGGAGAATCTGGTCGGACTTTTCAAGCTCTCCATAGGAGTAATATAGACGTGCCACGAGATTGCCCCGGGAATGTTCGCAGTCTGCAAGAAGATGGCACATGGCGACTTCAAGCCAGCCGAACCTCCGCCCATCTCCCCGGAGGCACGAAAACTCCGGCTGGAGAAAGCCACGCGGCAAGCATTCCTTTCGATCGACAATGCTGGAGCGAGAGGGGCCCTTCGCGCGTCGCGGGCGGCAGGGGGCTGGATCCCCGAAAGTTTTTACTCGATCCATGCTCGACCCAGCCCGCTGCTTGTCGCATGCAGGCGCGAGTTAGGTAAGGCAGGGAATCCGTGTTTCGGGCACAGAGCCATACTCGAGGGAGGGCACATGATTCCTTGCCCGAGGATGTCCAGACATGCCACGCCTGCCCCGTTGAGCAATTCTGCGCCAGTGGGCGCGATGACTTTGACTCCATCGATGGGTCTCCGCCCCGCCCCGCCTTCTCCCGAGCCAGTGGCCGAGGCTGCGCCCGAGATGGGGCGGGGTGACTGGGGTGGGGGCTGGGGGTTGTGCTCGTGCTCGGATGGGTCAGGCCGTGCCAGCTCGCTCTAGGACTGGGCCGGCGCGGTGGGTCAGTGGTGGAGTCAGATGAAGCAGGCTGCCAGGCCCGAGCCCCCCCTGGGCCGTTGCCAGGTAGAATTCAGTCAGCGCCTCGGTCCGAGCATCTCGCAGCAGTTCGAGCTTTTCAGGCTGGAGCGCGACCGGCATAGGGAAGTTCTGATCAGCTATCTGAGCACTGTCAGGACTGGTGGGCTTCGGTCACCGGAGTCTGAGTCGGCGCGCGCGAATCGCGCTGGCTTGTGGCGCCAGATGCGCAGTTCCCACTTCGTTCCGAGGCTCCGCCCAAATGCTTCTGGGCTTGTGCTCGTTGATCAGACAGCGGTAGGATTGAACGCGCTGAGTGAGTGTTTTTTGTTATCGATTTCGTCGGGGGCGAGCGGGCCGACTATTCTGCCTAGCTCGGGCCCCGAGGCCATATGGCCCCCGCGGGGCTGGTCGATCTGCGCGAGGCCAGCTGACCAAATATACCAATGAGGGCCAGGTGTTTGCATGCACGGTGCGGGAGGCGGCGAAGAAGGCTGAGTTGATGCAGCCGGTGACGGACCCCCTTCCGTCGCGCCGCCGCCACCTGCGCCCGAGTTTTCTCTCGTCTCATCTCTCACGCCTTCATGTTCTTTCAGCGGGCGCGCGGGCACAGATGTTCGAAGTGCGGTCGTTTTGCTTGCGCGGCGGGATCTGCAGACGGCCCAGGGCATCCGATTGCAATCCCAGCCCTGCCCTAAGTGCGACGGCGGCCCGTTTCGTCCGCCTCGCTCGAGAGTGCTACGTTGCCGCGACGCCTTCGGCGGGGGAGACTGCGCTAATGGCAACAGGCGCGCCCGCCGACGCGGGTGAGGAGGGAGCTGCTGCCGCCGCTGCCGAGCCGGGGGAGGACGGAGAGATTGTGGTCCACCATCGCGAGCGCATCCGTGTTATTGAACACTACGGAAGCTCGCTGGCACGCATGTCTTATGGCGCGCATTCCAGAGAATAGGGAAAGAACCCCAAGGTGCTCGAGGAGTGTCGTGGACACTGCGAAGTCGCCAGCCAGCACGCGTGCGAATGAGGAGCAGGCCACCCCTCGCACCATGCGCGCGTTGCACCCGCGCCCTGAGAATCCCTTGCCCGCGTGATGCGCAGTCACTTTGGTCTCCGCTCTTGAGTGTTCAAGCGTTTCGGGGGCATTTGCCGGTGTGCAAACTGTGCTCGGCGGCCCCACTCCTGGGCCGCTCCGCAGTTTTTGTCGTCTCCGGCCGGGGCCCGCCCGTTGACCCGGCCGCGCCTTCCATCGCTTGGGGCCTCATCCTCCTCATCCTCCTCTTCCTCCTCCTCCCTCCCATCCCCTTGGCATCGTTCAGACGTTTGCGGTTTTTCTCGGCGAGGGCCATCGAGGAACATCATAGATCATCTGGCAACACAGAGCGCGCGCGAAGCCGAACAAGGCATGAGGAATGGACGTCCAAGCGACGGCAATCTCCATCCATTGAGCCTGGCATCGCTCGGGCGCGTGCATTTTCTCGGTGAGGACCATCGGGGAGCATCCTGGACCATCTGGGAGGATTGGCCGTGGGCGCGCGTGGCCGTCCGAGGGAATGGGAGGCGTTTTGGCCCATGCCCTCCCCCTCTGCATGGTTGGCCTTTTCCTGGGTTCGGGAAGGAAGGAGGGAGACGGGGGAAGGGAGGGAGGGAAGATTCGGATGCGGCTCTGGCACTTCGGGTTTGAACTCTTCGAGGTGGCTCCCCATTCGATTGGTATCGAGCTGGGGAAAGTCCAGCAATTGAATCGCGCGAGGCCTGGCTGACCAGACCCGTTCCCGCTTACACGGCGGTCCCCACTGCGACGAGGTGCGGGGCCAATTCTGGTCCCGCCGTGCCGAGATGGGAGGGAGGGAGGGGGGGAGGCAGCGTGGGAGGGAGGAAGGGGGGGGGAGAGAGGAGGAAAAGGAGGAGGAGGAAGAAAAGGAGGGAGAGGAGGAGGAGGAGGAGGAGGAGGAGGAATTGGAGGAGGAGAAAGAGGAGGAAGTGGAGGAGGAGGAGGAAAACGAGGAGGAGGAGGACGAGGAGGAAGAGGAAGAGGCGGAGGAGGAGGAGGAGGAGGAATAAAAACAAACATAATTGTAGGATGAAGAGTACGAGAAAAAAAAGACGAATAAGAAGAACACGAAGAATAATAATAAGGCGACGAAGAGCAGAAGGAGCAAGAGGAGGAGGAGGAGGAGGAGGAGGAGGAGGAGAAAGAGGAGGAAGTGGAGGAGGAGGAGGAGGAGGAAATCGAGGAGGAGGAGGAAGAGGACGACGAGGAGGAAGAAGAGGAGGAGGAGGAGGAAGTGAGATGAGAAAGCGCGTGAGGACCAGGTCAAGCCTGGGCACGTAAAAGACTCAGGCCTGCGGAAACTTACCACCACTCTTGGGGGGCAGCCCGTTGTGCCAGCCTGGACAGTACCTCCTTTCTTGCTTTAGAGGAGGGCGATCAGTGTTGCAAGGCAGTGCGAAACTCTGAACATTCACACTGGCGTGCGCATCGCAGTGCTCACAGTACAAAACACCCCGCAGGACCTTCAAACGATGATTGCTGTCAAGTCCTGGGTACAAGGGGTGGCGAATGGGGTCAGACAAGAGAAGAGGAGGGTCAAGACAGGGAGCTGGGCAAAAGTCCTGGACCTGGCCCTTCAGGGTGAACCGACGCTGGCACACCCGACGCTGAAAACACGAGCGACGCCGACAGGGCTCATGGCCAGCGCCTGCCTGCAACGTTGGGATCGGACAGGAAGGCGTTGGACGGACAGCCCCAGCAGCGATGCAATGGGGTCTCCTTCTCGTTACCACAACGGAAACACCTGCCGAGCGAGAGATAGCCCGCATCATGAAGTCGGCCGTCATGCCAACAGCCGCCGACCACGATTTTGGTCAACAAAAACAGCACCTTTGTAGTTACCATTCTTAGTCATTTCCTTGTGCTTAGCCCTAGAGGGGGGAGGAGGGCAGGGAGAAGGAGGAGGAGGAGGAGGAGGAGGAGGACGAGGAGGAGGAGGAGGAAGAGGACGAGGAGGAGGAATCTTGCCACGGGCGAGGGGGGGGGGCGGACGGGGGACCAGTCGTGGGAGGCGCGGAAGCGAGAAGGGCAGACCCTCCAGGGCCCTCTGGACACCGCGAAGGGTGCCTTGTCGCACCCCCTGAGGCAGTTCCTGAGGCCGCACCCCTTTGGGGCCCCTTTCTTCCCCCCCCATTTGGGCCAGCCCCATGAGCACCCGCTCCCTCCTCCTCCTCCTCCTCCTCCTCCTCCTCCTCCTCCCTCCCTCCTCCCTCCCTCCTCCTCCTCCTCCTCCTCCTCCTCCTCCTCCTCCTCCTCCTCCTCCTCCTCCTTCCCGCCCGCTGCCGCCGCTGCGGCCCCTTCGGGTTTCCCCCTCTTATCCTGAGGCGTGTTTGATCACAGACGTGTCATTGGTGGCCCGCCCGCCTCGCCACCCCTCCCTCCCGCCTCTTCTCGAGGAGCTGGGCATTTCATTGGGGCGCGTGGGTTTGCGATGCGACGGGCCCCACTTTCACACGAAGCGACGCGCTCCGTCGCCAACTGTGGTGACACTATCTTCGCTTTCGGGGAGTGCTCTCCCCCGTCCGTGGATCTGGCCCCCGCTCGACTCTCAACGCCGTGGATTCATCGCCGATGGGGCCCGATAGCCCGCCCCGGCAAGAAACGCGCGGATTCGCTATCGGGGCCCCTTCGTCGATCTGTCCGCGACGTATCGCCGACTCCAGGTCGATGGTTCCCCCCTTGAAGTGATGATCCCCCCATAATTGTACCCCTCCTCTCTCCCACTCTTCCCTCTCCCTCCTCCGCCGCACCAAATTCAACGATTTGGCGTTAAGTGGTAGCCACTGGCTGTTGATGGACGCATTCAGCTCGCCAGCTCCGAGAGACCCAACGCCTTGAGGAATACAGGGTGGGGAACAGATTCCTGGGTTTAGGCGCCCGCTCGCCGATCGCAGGTTCCATAATCCACTCCTCTTCGCGGTCGGGCACGTCTCGCTCGCGGTCGCCGTTGCTGTCAGGGAAGAGAGGGTAATGCTTTACCGATTCGGCTACGTCGTATGGCCTGTTCCTGTTCCCCCCTTTGACAACACGGGCGCGGCCGCGACCCTCGGAGAAGGGTTTGGGCGGGCTACGCGCGCGCTGCGCTTCTGCACGCGGGCGCGGAGGGTTGCGCCACGGCCAAGGACTTTTCGCCCGCCGGCCTTCCTCGGGGCCTCCTCCTGCTCATTGCACTTTCCCCATCATCATCATCATCATCATCATCATCATCATCATCATCATCAGCATCAGCATCAGCATCAGCATCAGCATCAGCATCATCAGCATCATCATCATCATCATCATCAACAACATCAACATCACCATTAACATCACCATCAACATCAACATCAACATCAACATCATCACACCACCATCAGCATCATCATCATCATCAGCACCAGCATCATCATCATCATCACCCCCACCATTCCCATGAACATTATCATCGTCATTGGCATCGGCAGTGTCGTCATCATCACTATCATGATCCATCCATCCATCCACCCATCCACCCATCCACCCATCGGCCGGCCGCTTGGGCTCAAGCGGCCGGCCGCCAACATGTGACTGTGCCTCGTTGCGAGGCGTACTACTTGCCATCGAGACCGAAAACACCCTTCGCTTGAGATGGCTCGTCGCTCCCGCGACGATCTCCCCCCACCGGGACTATCGCTGTTACGGTACAACAGAGCTGGAGCTGGGCTTCGCCCAAGGCGAAGCTTCTGGTCGGGCCTCGCGGCCCCCTTCGAACTCATCGAAGATCCGCAGACTATATGCATGCGCCGTACCGTGGCAGCATCCCTGGGGCATTTTTGGTAGATGCCGATTCGCGCAAGATCATTGAGGAGGATTTGGGATCGACTTGCGCCTGCCTTCGCATCATTGGAAATCCTTGCGGGCCCTGGTGGCCCTGCGGCGGAGGTGCCTGAAGGATTTTCATGCGAGGCCCCGCCGCATATGGCGCCCCTCTTGGTACGGTGCAGATGTTGGTGCTCTTTGCAGGGCGAAAGCTATGCACCGTACCGTGCCTGGTTTTCATTGACGGCCTCAGAGTCTGTTGCCGAGTTCTCTCGTCGACCCATTTGGGTGGAAATGTTGGCGCGCGCCTCCTCACTGGGCTCGCAAGGGGGCGCGCCAACGCAATCGGCACTCGGCGACGACAGAAGGCCCTTTGAATTTTCGAGGTTCGGCACGGTGATCCAGTATCGTCCGCGTAGAAGAGCATCCAAGGATCGCCCTGCGAGAAACGAGCGCACGAACTCCATAAATGCACGGAGAGTGGGCGTTCGAGCGATGGCACGTCATTCTTCTTTCAACGCGTCCCTTGCATCTCCCCCCACTTTTGGGCCCCAGGCCGTGCACGTGCCTCGGGCCATGACCTGCGGGTGCCCTCCTCTTGGACGCCCCCCTCCTGGACGCCCCCCGAGAGGTGCCGGGCCGTCGGGCCGTCGGTGCGCGCTCGGTCGCGCTCGATCCGTCGCCCCTGCGCTTCGGTGGTTCGGCCCTTTCGGTGCTTCGGCCCTTCGGTGCTTCGCCCCTTCGGTGCTTCGTTCCTTCGAGGCTTCGTTCCTTCGGTGCTTCGCCCGTTCGAGGCGTCGTTCCTTCGAGGCTTCGTTCCTGCGGTGCTTCGCCCTTTCGAGGCTTCGTTCTTTCGGTGCTTCGCCGCTTTGCCCCTGTGCCCCTGCACGGTCCGTCGCCCAAGCGTCCCTTCGACACCACTTCGCGGCTGCCTCCACCGGGACCCCTCGGAGGAGGGCAGCTTCGGGGCTCACGCAGCGGAGGTCAGCGTTCAACGGGGGTCGGCCAGTCCCCTTCGAGATCCTCTGGCCGTCCCGGGCTTTGGAGCCACCTGGAGCCGCCCCCTCTCGCCCGCCCTCCGCTGACCCCTGCTTGGGAGCGTCGTCTTCGCGACGGGGCCCTGGCCGACCCGGGTTTGGGCTGACCCGGCTTAGTGCGCCCCTCGATTGCACGTCAGAGGGACCCTTCGCCAGAGTGACCTTTAATGCGGCCCCCCCGATCGCCGAACGCGATGCGATGGCGTCCTGCGTTCGATCCCCCTACGGCCCCCCCCAAAAGCCGCGCACCAAAGGTCACTGTTGCCCAGGGTCACTTCTTGCGTGTAGCCGAGTCCTCGACAGCTGCACAGATCCCCCCCCCTCGTTTTGAAAACCCCCGAGAGCAAAGCAGGACGAGGAGGAGGAGGAGGAGGAGGAGGCCCTCGCAGCCGCTTGCCGCGCGGCGTGTCGGGCAGACCTCGTCAGGAGAGGGACAAGACGCTCCACGAGGCCCGTGACGCCCTGCTGGCGGCGCCCGCCTCGGGGGATCGGGCGCGGGGGTGATGGTCATGGTCATGGTGATGGTCATGGTGATAGTGATGGTGATGGTGATGGTGGTGATGATAGTGATGATGGTAATGGTGATTATGATGGCAGTGTTGATGGTGATGATGCTGCTGCTGATGATGATGATGCTGATGCTGATGATGATGATGATGATGATGATGGTGGTGGTGATGCCGACGCTGATGCTGATGATAATGATGATTATGATTATGATTATGATTATGATGATGATGGTGATGATGCTGGAGGTGATGTTGATGATGATGTTGATGCTGATTATGATTATGATCATGATCATGATCATGATGGTGATGATGGTCATGATGATGATGGTGATGTTGGTGGTTATGATGGTGGTTATGATGGTGGTTATGGTCATGATGATGATGAGGATGATGATCAGAGTGATGATGATGCTGCTGGTTGTGGTGGTTCTGATGATGGTGATGGCGCGGTGGTGGTGGTGGTGGCGATGATTGTAGCGATGCTGGTTACGAAGATGATGGTGATGCTGTGCTGAGGAGGAGGGCGATGGCTCGATGACGGTTGCGATGACGATTTCGGCGATGTTGGTGTTAATGTTGATTTGTTTGATGTGGTCGATGATGGATATGGCGATGACGACGATGACGATGATGACGGTGACGATGATGATAAGTATGTGGATGGGGGTGGTGGTGGTGGTGTTGCTGATGATGCCGGTGGCATCGATGATGGTGTTATGGTGATGTCGATTATGCGGGTGCCAGCGATGGTGATGATGATCGTGGTTGTGGCTATTGTGATCAGGATATGATGAGAACTATGATGATGGTGATGATGATCATGATCATGATGGTGATGATGGTGATGATGTCAGTGGTGATGGTGATGGTGATGGTGATGGTGATGGTGATGATGCTGGTGATGATGATGTTCAGTATGATGATGTTCATGATGATAACGACGGTGATTGTGATTGTGATAGTGATGGTTTTAGCGATGGTGACGGTGATGTTGATGGTGTTGATGATGATGATGAATGTGATGATGTTGATGGTGGTGATGATGATGATCATTATGATGAGGATTTCAACGACAATGGTGATGATGATGGCTATGGGTATGGTGAGGATAGTGATGATGGTGATGGTGGTGGTGATGATTATGATGATGGTGATGATGATGATGGTGATGGTAATGGTCATGTTGATGGTGATGGTGATGGTGATGGTGATGGTGATGGTGGTGATGATGATGATGATGGTGATGATGATGATGTCGATGATGATGAGGAGGAGGAGGAGCATGAGGATTATAATTAGGATGCTGATGATGGTGGTGATGAGGATGGTGATGGAAGGGAGAGGCGGGAGGAGAGGGTGGACGAGCAGGCGGGAGAGGCGGAGGAGCAGGGTGGATGCGGCGGTGCTCAGCCGAGAGCGTCACGCACGGGTTGCCGTGTACACGTGGACCGAGGGTGCATCGCACGCGTGCTGCGCGAGCGGCGCGAGCGAGTGAGCGAGGCAGAGGAGGAGAGAGGAGCTGGAGGCGGAGCAGGGAACGGGGGAAGAGCAGGAGAGGGAGGTGAAGGACGAGGAGTGAGCGAGGTAGAGAAGCAGGAGGCAGAGGACAAGGAGCAGGGGAGAGTGGGGAGGATGTCGTTGCTTTTTCTCCGTCCCGTGCTGGCGCTTAGGGATTCTTATGTGCGTTTCTAATGAACTGGATGGGTTTTCCAAAGGGTTCCCGACGTTCTGGCTTGTTGCCGCCTGGTTGCCTCCCGTTGTCGCTCGTGTGGTGGCCCTGGGCATTCGCCACGTTCCACTCCGTTGCTGCCTGGTTGCTGCCCGTTGCCGCCTGTGGGGGGTGTCCCGAGGATTCGCCACGTTCCCGCTCGTTGTTGCCCATTGCCGCCCGTTGCCGCTCGTGGGGGTTGTCCCGAGGATTCGCCACGTTACGGCCAGCTGCCGCCCGTAACGCCTGCGGGGATACCCACAGGATTCGCTCTTTCTGGTCCCGTTGCTGCCCGTGGCCGCCTCGTGGCCGCTTCGTGCGCTGGGATACGGCGAGGTTTCGCCAGGTTGCCGCCTGTGGGCGCCTCGTGGCCGCCTCGAGCGCAAGGAAAGTGCGCCGGTGGATCTCCCTGAATACACTAAAGGGGGGCGGGGGGGGTCCCGAACCCCCCCCCCCCCCCCCCTTGAAGGGGGGGGGGGGTCCGGACCTCCCCCCCCCCCCTCCCCCCCTTGGAGCTGGAAGGGGAGGGGGGGTCGGACCCCCCTCCCCCTCGTGCAGGGAGTACGGAATTGAATTGGGAGCAGGGAGTGGTGAGTAGTGAGTAGTGAGTTAGTGCGTAGTGAGTATTGGGTAGAGAGTAGTAGTGAGTAGTGAGTATGAGTAGTGGGTAGTGAGTGGCGAGTAGGGAGTAGGGAGTAGGGAGTGGGGAGTAGTGAGTAGTGAAAAGTGAGTAATTCGTGTGTACTGATAAGTGAGTAGTGAGTGGCGAGTAGTGAGTTGTGAGTAGTGGGTAGCGAGTAGCGAGTAGTGAGTACTGAGTAGGGAGTAGGGAGTAATGAGTACTGGGTAGTGAGTAGTGGGTAGTGAGTGATGGGTGGCGAGTAGTGATTAGTGAGTAGTGACTTGTGGGTGGTGCGTAGTGCGTAGTGAATCGTGAGTAGTGAGTAGTGAGTAATGAGTAGTGAGTACTGAATACTGAGTCGTGAGTAGTGAATAGTGAGTAGTGAGTAGTGAGTACTGAGTAGTATGTAGTGCGTAGTGAGTAGTGAGTAGTGAGTAGTGATGAATAGCGAATAGAAAGTACTGGGTAGTCGCAGTAGGTAGTGAGTAGTGACGAGTAGTGAGTAGTGAGTAGTGAGTAGACTGTAGTCAGTAGTGAGTAGTGCGTAGTGAGTAGTGAGTAACGAGTAGGGAGTAGCGAGTAGTGAGTAGTGAGTAGTGAGTGCTGAGTAGGGAGTAGTGAGCAGTGAGTAGTAAGACGTGGGTAGCGAACCGTGTGTAGTGAGTAGCGATTGGTGAGTAGTGGGTAGTGACTAGTGACTAGTGACTAGTGAGTTGTGACTAGTGGCTAGAGTCTATGTGGTGACTAGTGAGCAGGGAGTAGTAAGTAGTGAGAGGTGAATAGTGAGTAGCGGGGAGTAAGTAGTGAGTAGCGAGTATGGGAGTAGCGAGTAGCGAGTACTGAGTACTGTGTAGTCAGTATTGTGTAGGGAGTAGCAAGTAGCGAGTAGTGAGTAGTGGGTAGTGGGTAGTGGGTAATGAGTAGTGAGTATTGAATAGTGAATAGGGAGTAGTGAGTAGTGCTTAGTAGTGTGTAGTGAGGAGTGAGTAGTGAGTAGGGAGGAGGGAGTAGTGAGTAGGGAGTAGTGAGTAGCGAGTAGTGGGCGGTGGGTAGTGAGTAGTGGATAGTGAGTAGTGAGTCATGAGTAGCGAATAGCGAGTCGTGAGTGGTGGGTAGTGGGTAGGGGGCTGGGGTTAGTGGTTAGGGGGTAGGGGGCCCCTCGTGACTCCCTTCGGGGCTGGGGTTAGTGGTGAGGGTTGGATTCGGGTTTGGGTTAGGGTGAGGACTAGGGGTAGGGGTGGCGGGGGTCGGGTTCCGGAGTCAGGGGGCGGCGTGGCGAAAGGGGGGGAGGGGGGGGGGGTTCGGACCCCCCCCCCTTTTTGAAAGGGGGGGAGGGGGGGGGTTCCCCGACGACGGGTCGGGGAAAGGGGGGGAAGGGGGGGGGGTCCCCGACGACGGATCGGGGAAAGGGGGGGAGGGGGGGGGGGTCCCCGACGACGGATCGGGGAAGGGGGGGGGGGGGTCCTCCCTACCCCCCCCCCTTGGGGAGATCCAGCGGCGCACCCTCCTTGATTAGCTTTCGTGGCATAGCTTACACCTGTTTGAAATTCACCTTGGGGTCACAACTTGATGATGCGTGTCGCTTCTTACCCAGGGGACCTCCAGCGGCCTCACACCCCCTCCGCGAGAGGAGGCGCAGAAGGATGAGGAGGAGGAGGAGGAGGAGGAGGAGAAGGAGGATGAGGGGAGGAGGATGAGGGCGTATGAGGGAAGAGGCTAATGAAGTGGGGAGGAGGGAGGAGAGAGGAGGGGGAGGCGGGAGGAGAGGAGGAGTCAGAAGAGGGCGAGAGAGAAGTGCTTCACCGAGACGAGGCACAACGCTCTGTGGTCTTCGTCGGTTTGACCGTGGCGCCAAGGCCCCCCCAAAGCGGTGGCCTGCCAGTCTGCGGAGAGGAGAGCGACGGGTGTAGGAGATTCTCGGCGGTTTTCCAGCCTGGCGATGCCTTCCAGCATCTACGCCTCGCTGACAGCGTTCCAGGGGTGCTCGAATCGTCCCGAGCGGCCGCAGGAAGCAGGAGCCATGGGCCGAAAACCGCGGACACGATCAGGGTCCATTTTGGTCGGATCGATCCGATTCGATTACAGTCAACCAGCATAGTAAGGATGGGCCACCTTCCCAAGGGTACCATTGCATCCCTGCCTCCTCGGTCCATCCTTGGCCAGTTTCTCTGGCCGTGCCCCGCTCGAAAAGCATCGAAATGACCCTCCAATGCCCTTGCATCCTTATCGCGCATCCTTACTATACTGGTTGACTGTATGCGCACTCCCTCTCTTCATGGCCCCCCTCCCCTCCCTCGAAGGAGGCCCAGCTGAAAAAACGGTGGCTCAAAGTCGGTCCCCCGACCTCTCCAGAGGCCCATCCTGGCCCGGTTTTCGAGGTGGTGCCGGCCGTGGCGACGAGAAGCCCCCACGAGGCTTTCAAAAGGACGGCAAAACGGCAGGAAGGGCCTCCGGGGTCTCGACTTGGAACATCCTTCCTCCTCCTCCACCTCCTTCTCCTCTACCTCCTCCCCTTCCTCCTCCTCCTCCTCCACTTCCTCGTCCTCCACCTCCTCCACCTCCTCCTCCTCCTCGTCCTCCCCTTCCTCCTCCTCCTCCTCCTCCTCCTCCTCCTCGTCGTCCTCCTCCT